AAATTTGGCTCTCCGTTTCGCCCCTCCGGAATGTTCTACTTTCACAGCCTAATCGCACGTTTTTTGAAAACGACGAAAAAACACAAGAATTAGTAGAAATGTGCCTGTTTTGGGCGGATTATTGATAGAGAATAATGTCTTTATTACAAAAATGCTGAAAAACCGTGAGTTGTTGCTTAGTTATTTTTTTATTGGCGAAAAACTGTGAACTCGGCAAATTTGGTTGCACAACTTCCCTTTATCATATACACCCAGCGACACCGATGCCAGCTGACTGTGTACAAAACTGCTAGGAGGTAATACATTTGGGGCGAAAGTATTGAAAAATCAGTTTTTGGATGTTGCAATGGCAGTGGTGGGCCAGGATTTTTTTCCAATTAGTGACGGCACGACCTACCTGTGAAGTATGAACAAAACCAGCCGAGCCGTTGCTGGTGAAAAGTTACCCCAACTTTGGGGTCAAATTTCTCGGTAATGAAAACAGATATCAAAAATTCAAATGGTAACTTTGTGCCCACACTCAAGCTGAGTAGAATGAGCTATGTCTGAAGTGTTTTATCCCAAATTTGTAGGAGGAGATACATTTGGCGTGAAGCTATCCAAAAATCATTTTTTTTGCTGTTGCTATGGCAACGGTGGGCCAAAAAAAATTTCCAGATTTTTCCTTATAACTAGGGTTAAGGTGTGACCTACCTGCCAAGTTTGAACGAAATCGGCCAAGCCAAAAAAATCACAGAAGAAATAATAGTGAACACTGGAAATGTACACACACAGACACACACACACACACAAAACGACAAAAGTGATTATAAGGGCAATCCTAGCGGAGCGGATCGCCAACAAAACGACAAAAGTGATTATAAGGGCAATCCTAGCGGAGCGGATCGCCAACAAAACGACAAAAGTGATTATAAGGGCAATCCTAGCGGAGCGGATCGCCAACATATGGATGAAAACACTCTGATCTCTGAGACCTACAAACTTGGCACCAATTTGGACAAAGAAAACATCAGTAATTGAACCACAGGCATACAAAAATTACTGAACCTTTTAGAAATTAGTGATGTTTGCGAAAAAAATCAGTATTATCCCATTAGCTACAAAAAAACTAAAAAATATGTTTGAATAACACTGCACAGAAACAATGCATAATGACAATAAAGGCACTAATCACAAAAATAAACTTTGTACCTACAGACAGCTGAAAACTGATTTTGCACTTGAAAAATACCTTGAAATTATTAAAAACCCCATCCACAGATCATCTATGACTAAACTGTGGATAAGTGCCCACATACTTCAGATTGAAGTTGGGCGATATCACAACATAAATAGCTTAAATAGAACATGCTCTGTCTGTGACTCCAATGAAATTGAAGACGAAGAACACTTCCTCTTCAATTGTAACCTGTACAAATCTGAAAGAGATGCTTTGTTTGAAAACTTAACCTTATCCGGTAATCTGAAAGCACTTCTCAATAACAAAAATTCTGAAACTGTCCAAGCAATTGCCAAGTTTATCAGCGACTGTTTCACTAAAAGAGAGAACTTCATGAAAAGCAATTTACCAGCTGTCTCAAAATAATACAAAACAATATTTATATAATAATATTTTCACAGTATCACTATTTATTATTATTATTATTATTATTTAAAAAAATATTATTATTATTCCTCATGTATTTTATTGTTCCTTATATCCTTATTGTATTCTAATCTAGATCCCAGATGGGATACGATAACAATAAAGGTTGTTATTATTACATTTTGTAGTTTCGAGCAGTGTTCAAGATGGCTACCCCCATATAATATCGGTGAAATAATCGCATTTATCATATCATCACTTGTACGCCAGCTGACTGTGGTTATTTCCAGGCTCAAACCGGGGGCTCATATTACTCATAGGGGAATCCAGACATGTACCAGGCTGCGTAAAAGACATTCTATGTCCCCTACTGCAATATAGACTCGCCCAGAGTAGACGAGATCACAAGGCGGCGCCAGCTAGATCCGAAGCCCAACTGTTTAGTCAAAACCCAAGCAGTTAGCCAATTCGCTAGCAAGTTTGCAAATTGGCTGCCCCAATACTTCTGAGACTTGCTGTAAAAGTCCATCTTATCAGTCTCCGTTATATTGTCAGTGTCAACAGTTTCCGTATACACACATTCATTATTGGAAGAGCGAACGCACAACCAACACCTTTTTTTCGGCAAGGCAAAGTAACACCATTTTAACACCGGAAAAAAGAGAGGTTGGGTTTGAACTCAGACTAGTCTGAGGTTTGAACTTGTGACGTCGACCTTTAGCCGCACCACACCGGCAAACTCTTCCACCCCTTCGAAACAAATGGTCGCTTCCGCTGCATTTAAAGCGCATGCGCGAACGCCATATTGATAATATTTTGTTTGACCTGTTTGAGTTTCCTATTTGTGATCTAACTGTATTCGACAACGTGTTGGATTCGTTCCATCCATTTTGGCATTTTTATCTCTGACATACTTCTAATTGCGTAATTTATAAGTTTCTTATCAGTTTCAATGTGTCACTCACCACTGGAGTAAGTATCACTCAATTATGATGAGACTCTTTCCGACCGTGTTTCACAATGAAAACTTCACCGGGGGATACGTCGTCTGATGCGGATAGCATTGCATCGAATGAGCATCAGCAACTTGACGAGGACAATACGGTGAGTGGAGAAAGTTTTTACACGTACTTGTTGTGATTCTGATAGGTTGTCATGGTTTCTTGTCGACGTTTAATCATACTGCGTGACTGTCTGCTCTACTCAGGGAGCTGTAATGAGCCCTGCTCTACTCCAGTAATGTGACGCCGTATCTTTATGTATTATCCAACGTATTCTAAGTGACTGACTGTGGTTTGATAAATGTCGGCAGTGCTTATTGGGTAACAGGAATTCACATACTATTCACATACTATTCACATTTATACATACTAGTAATACGTATTATTACTGCTGGTTACGCCCTCGTTTTTAAACTGCTTGGGGGTTACCATGAAAAATAGTACTAATCATGCTTGTAGTACGACCACATGTATTAACATACTCCAGTACATTTTGTATGAACAGTGATGTTTAAGATTACTATTTCGATGTGCCATACTCTTATGACCCAAATAAACATATCCCCAGGACAAATCTTCAAAATCTAATAAACATACCCCCCGGAATAAACATACCCCTCGGAAAAATTTCCAAAATGACCGGTAAATTGTTTCCTTGCTTCTAAAATGTGCTCTCACTGGTGTATATGCAAACTTTTCACCATTCCTTGTAATTAGGAATATAAATGGAAAACAAATGATGCATTTCTAGCAATATACTTCAAATCTCTGTTTGAAAGGCCGCAAGATGTAATGAAATGGCAAACCAATCACTACCTGAGTCGGCCTGGTTGTGAAACTGCGCAATACATACAAAAATGTATGTGAATGAGATATGAGCAGCTCCACCAAATTCAAAAATATTCTTTTCACCATAATTATGACTCTAATGTGATTTTCCACTCTTGTATTGTACTATACCATATCGTACAAGTTTATTGTGATTCTTTATGTGTTTGTAATATTATTTAGCTTCATTTAGCATTCTGTTTAGTTGGTTAACTTTACTGTATTTTAGTGTAGTTTATTTTATTTTATTTTAATTTATTTTTATATACGACCAAAGAACAACTCACTGTAGTTTGTTTTAGTGTTGAATAAATATTATAATTAATCAGTCACAGTACAATGGTGACTTATTGTGCGAAATTGTTACATTTCTCGATTTGCTTGCCGCTGTGTGTCGATAAGAATGCATGGAATGGTCGGCAGTATCTATCAAGTTCGTCTAGGGTGACCTTTGTGGCTGGCGAAAAGCAAGATAGTACCGGTATACATGTAGCAGGGCATCAAGGCAGTCGGGTAGGGCATCAAGGCAGTCTGGCAGGGCATCAAGGCAGTCTGGCAGGGCATCAAGGCAGTCAGGTAGGGCATCAAGGCAGTCTGGCAGGGCATCAAGGCAGTCGGGTAGGGCATCAAGGCAGTCTGGCAGGGCATCAAGGCAGTCTGGCAGGGCATCAAGGCAGTCAGGTAGGGCATCAAGGCAGTCGGGTAGGGCATCAAGGCAGTCTGGCAGGGCATCAAGGCAGTCTGGCAGGGCATCAAGGCAGTCAGGTAGGGCATCAAGGCAGTCGGGTAGGGCATCAAGGCAAGTCTAGCAGGGCATCAAGGCAGTC